ATTTAACGTTTTTTTCTGCTGAAAAAATGCCCCAAAAAAACTCTACAAAAACAAATGTTTTCCTGCTCCTAGATGCTGAAGCTCAAAAAATGCTAATAGCCTAAAGTAGTGTGTATAGACACACAGTGGGTTTATTTACTATTGCTGAAGAGTGCAAAATCAGATGCACTTCTGCATAGAAATCAATCAGCTTTCAGGTTTTATTGCCAAAGCTTAATTGAACAAGCTGATGATAGAAGCTATCATGCAAAGGTGCATCAGATTCTGAGTGAACCAGCTTTAGTAAATCCCCCCATAGAATAACACTATTTAGCTTCTAGGAGCAAAAAAAAAAAAAAAAGCTGCTAACAGCTTCTAGGAGCTTAAAAAAATGATAGTATGCATAGAGCCCAAGATTAAAAAGGAGGTTTAACAACAAATTATTTTATATATATATATATATATATATATATATATATATATATATATAACTAGATTGTTTTTGTTTTTCATATAATATCCCTATTATAGCAGGTAAAGTGTCCAACAGGATTGGTGACGTGACCCAGTGCACATCTTGCTCCATGTACAGTATATGTTCCTTGAAGAACCGTTCAAGGATGAATGCTGCTGTGCAAGATGTGAGGGGAGTGGGGATATGGAGGTACAGGAGCCAGAGGTAGGTACCTGGGTGACAGTTAGAAGGAGGGGTAGATGGGCATAAATGGGGATTAATATTTATTCTAAAAACTAGATGAGAGATTGGATGTCCAACCCCTCATTTAGTAAATGACTAACACAGTAATAAATGGTAAGATGTAAGATGGTAATAAAAGGTGAATAACACAGCCAGGTCCTAAGGGAATGCAAACCATGTTCATTTGGCAACTGACAGCCTCTACATATTATCCCTTTCTTGCAGTCCACATTTCAGCTTATATCTATAGGGAGGACAGCTAAGAGTAGACAGATGCTTGGCTTCAGTGTCTTATGCAAGTCCAGGGGCCTCAGTCCCATTCTTCTTTTGCTGATTGGAATTTAAAGCAAAGCTGCACACCACAATAACTCATTATAATAAGTAAGGATGCCAAGGAATACATGGCCATACCTCCCAAATTTCTGAGATGGAAGAAAGGAGCACCAATTAGCTAAAGTTATGTAGGCTAAGGACACGCCCACTACCACACCCCTGTCTCACGGAGAATTATTGCACAAAAATGATCGGTTAAAACAAGTACTTTTTTACCACAACTATTCCTTTCAACAAACAATGCAGAAATTGGATGAAAGGTTTAGCACTGTAAAACAATTTTTGACCAATAGCGCATTCATTATACATCAGACCAAAATGAGGTACAAATAAGGAGAAAAAGAGGTACAGTCCCTCCAAAATCAGGGACAGTTGGGAGCTATGTATGGCATGCACACAGCTGCAACCAAGGTAAATGATCCTTTATATTCTTTTCTAGTAATAATTTGTGAAAAGAACATCTCCTGTCTAATCCCATGGAAAATGTATTTGCCCTTTTTATAACAGCGGGTCTCGTTTATTGTAGATACTAAGTATGAAAACATAATGGGTTTTTAAATTAGGCAGGACAAAAAGGTATAACAATGCCCAGAATAAGGTATTGGTATGATGAGAAAATTAAACTGAATGGTATGCTAATAAAGATGTACTCATGTTCCCATTAAGATAAAAATAAGCTTGGCCCACAATTTAATTTTATATTTTCTTTTAGTAGGCAACCTCATTCTATATTTGAAAAACATTTTCAAGCAGCCACTCTACATTTTCAGAGTGTGTTTATAGCTGCAGTTTATAATTCTTTGTAATGTTTCTTATAAATGTTTGGAACTGGATGGAGTCCTATAATTAGATGCCCTTGCTAGCTATGCAAGTATGCTGACCTTTTCTATAACTGGAAAGGAAGCTTTCAGAATCTGGCTTGGAACACAACATATAATAAACCTTTAGGGTCATAACCTTTAAAAGTCAAAAACACAAAATGTGGATGCTATAGACTACTAGAGCAACATTATTGGAAAATGTGTCTACAAAATCACTGAACTAATTTTTTTCTCATGTTAAGTTTTTTGCAAAAGACTGACATCAGAAATCATTGAAAACCATGATAAATTATCGTTATTTTCTAGGAGAAATATTGGCCTTCCTATTTTGTGACCAGAATACCTGACATGAAGCAAATATGTAGACTATATCATAGTTGACCAGCTATCTGATAACGCTAGTCTTCTCTGGTTTCAGTGGATTCTGAGTCCGTGAACTAGAAACAGTAGCAAGTGAAGTGAGAACTGTTAAACTGTATACTTGTTCCAGTACGTTAAAGAATATGTAAACCCTCTCCAACCCATTCAATTCAAAACAGAAATATATATATACAGTTGTGTTCAAAATAATAGCAGTCAGACATCACTAACCTGATCAATCACTGTTTTTGGTAGAAATTATATATTTCTACATGGCAAATAATTTACTAGCAGGTGTAGTAGAGTAATAGAAATCCAAGAGATCCAACAGTCATGACATGCATGCTGCTGATTCTGTGTAATTGAATCACTAATTGAAAGGGGCATGTTCAAAATAATAGCAGTGTGGAGTTCTATTAGTGAGGTCATTCGTTCTTTGAAAAACAGGTGGCAACTATTGCCCTTATTTAAGGAAGGAAGGCAGCAAATGTTGTACATGCTGGTTACAGTGCATTTCTCTCTGAAATTCTGAAGAAAATGGGTCGTTCCAGACATTGTTCAGAAGAACAGCGTACCTTGATTAAAAAGTTGATTGGAGAGGGTAAAACATATAAAGAAGTGCAGAAAATGATAGGCTGCTCAGCTAAAATGATCACAAATGCTTTAAAATGGCAAACAAAACCTGAAAGACGTGGAAGAAAGCGAGAAACTACCATTCAAAATGGATAACAGAATAGCCAAAATGGCAAGGAGTCAGCCAACAATCAGCTCCAGGATGATCAAAGAAGGTCTAAAGTTCCCTGTGAGTACTGTTTACAATTAGAAGACGCCTATGTGAAGCCAAGCTATCTGCAAGAAGCCCCCGCAAAGTCACACTGTTGAAAAAAAGACGTGCTGAAAAGGTTACAATTTGCCAAAGAGCACATTGACTGGCCTAAAGAGAAATGGCGCAACATTTTGTGGACTGATGAAAGTAAGATTGTTCTTTTTGGGTCTAGTGGCCGGAGACAGTTTGTCAGACGACCCCCAAACACTGAATTCAAGCCACAGTACACTGTGAAGACAGTGAAGCATGACTGCGCAAGCATCGTGTGATATGGGGATGTTTCTCATACTACGGTGTTGTATGAGAAACGGGCCTATTTATCGCACAGCAGGGATCATGGATCAGTTTGAATACATCACAATACTTGAAGAGGTCATGCTGCCTTATGCTGAAGAGGAAATGCCCTTGAAATGGGTGTTCCAACAAGACAATGACCTCAAACACACCATTAAACGTGCAACATCTTGGTTCCAGACCAACAAGATTGACGCTATGAAGTGGCCAGCCCGGATCTTAATCCAATAGAAAACTTGTGGGGTGACATCAAAAATGCAGTTTCTAAGGCAAAACCAAGAAATAGAGAAGAACTGTGGATTGTTGTCCAATCATCCTGGGCTGGAATACCTATGCTTGTCTTACCTAAGTCCAATAAAACATCTCTGGGATATCATCCACTTGACGTCGCTAGGTTGCACCTCAGACTCTGCAGGAGCTCAGTGATGCCCTGGTCCAGATCTGGGGGGGGAAATACCCCAGGACACCATCCGTTGTCTCATTAGGAGCATGCCCCGCCATTGTCAGGCATGCATACAAGCACATGGGGCCATACAAACTACTGAGTACCATTTTGAGTTGCTGCAATGAAATTTCAGCAAAATGGACTAGCCTGCTGCAGAATTTTTTTTCACTTTGATTTTCAAGGTGTCTTTGAATTCTGTGCTCTGTAGGTTGATCATTTTCATTTCCATCAAACAATGGGGCATCCTTATGTTCCTAGCACATTACCTAGTCCATATCAGTATAGATATCCAGCATATTTTTTCCCCAATGAGATCTGATGTGTTTTTCAAAGTGTTCCTTAAATTTTTTAGAATAGTATATATATATACACTGTATATAAATTTATAAATACTCCCCCCCCCCTTTTTTTTGTATAACTGGTCACATACCCTCTGTCCTAAGATGCATAAGGAGCTGGGGATATTATTATACAGTATTTATAAAGCACCAATGGTTCGCTCAGCGCTGTACATTACAAAGGGGGACAGAACATGTGACAGAACAATACCAATACAATGCAAAACATGAGGGGATCGAGGGCCCTGCTCTTTCGAGCTTACAATCTAGGAGGGAGGGGATAGTGGTACAGGAGGAGATAGCTGATAGGGATATAGAAACAGCAGCACAAGTGTGAGAGTGGACGTGTCAGCACAAGGTTGATAATTGGAATAGCTCCCAGCACAACCAGAACATTGATCATGCTGTGCCCTCCTGCCTAGTGTGCTCAATTTTTAATAGGTAAGCAGAGGAAATGGCAGGAACATCAGGGATTTCACAGAAAATCAGGAATACAAAGAGAATCTTGTTATGCTGATAACATCATGCTGCCCAGTACATTGATCACTCTTTCAGTGATGCCCTTATGGGAAGAGCACTTTGCTTTCTCAAGTTCATGCACACATACTGTAAGTCTCTTGGTATTGGTCTACTAATGGGGTGGTGAGGTTGCGACCAGCATTCATTGGCATGGACATTTTCCCAACCAACAGTCCAGATCTTTTTTAATCTACTGAAAAAACTTTCAGCAATTTAAAAGGATAAGTTCACCTCTTGAAACATGTTACAACTGTATTAACCACCTCCCGACAGTCATGTAAGGAAATGACAGGTGCAAGGCGGCTCTCTCGTTCTGGGAGGACGTCACATGATGTCCTCCCCAATCTAACTGCGCGCCCCTGGGGGTGTGCAGCATGGCAATTAGTGGTGCCGAAGACGTCGGCTGTCATGTGATCAGCTGTGTCCAATCACAGCTGATCACATGTAAATAAGGAAATGTCGGTTATCGGCATTTCTCTCCTCACGAGCTGTCACGCTGACAGCTCAAGAGGAGAGGAGAGCCGGTAATCGTCAGTACTCAGAGGGGACATCTACACTGATCATCAGGGCACTGATGATCAGTGTGCCCTGATGATCAGTGTAGCCCCATCAATGCCACATATCAGTGCCCATCTGAGCTGCCTTTTAGTGGCACCTATTAGTGCCAGTCAGTGCTGCCTATCAGTGCCAGTCAGTTCAGCCTAACAGTCAGTGCCACCTACCAGTGCCAATTAGTGCCAGTCAGTGCTGCCTATCAGTGCCGCCTATCAGTGCCATATATGAGTGCTGCCTTTCAGTGTCCATCAGTGATGCCTGTCAATGCCCATCAGTGCCGCCTATCAGTGCCCATCACTGCAGCCTCATTAGTGCACAGCAGTGAAGGAGAAAAATCACATATTTACAAAATGTTATAACAGAAACTAAAAAAAAAAAACTTTTTCTCAAAATTTTCAGTTTTTGGTTTGTTTAGCAAAAAATAAAAAACCCAGAGGTGATTAAAAAAAGAAAGCTCTGTCTCAAAAAAAATTATAAAAAATTTCATATGGGTACAGTGTTGCATGATCACGCAATTGTCAAAGTGTGACAGCGCTGAAAGCTGAAAATTGGCCTGGGCAGGAAAGGGGTATAAGTGCCCCGTAGCCAAGTAGTTAAGGGTGGAACATGTAACATGTTCCAGCAGCTGCAGCCTCTCCTTGCGCTCCCAGTGATGGCAATAGCCTCACAGTTGCCATTTGAACGCATGCAGTTAAATAGCTATGCAATGCCAGCTGCATTTCTAGAATTGCTCAGCATGTATTGCCTAACAATCTTTAAATACATTGTACACTTTCAAATGTTTTCATTATTTTGTCAAAGTAGTGCAGTGCCAAATAGCAAAAAATGGCCTGGTCATGAAGGGAGTAAAACCTTCCGGAGTGGTTAAAATAAAAAATAAAAAAAAAAGTAATTTTGAAATGGATGGCAACAACACATCTCATAAAAATTGGGGCAGAGCTACGTTTACCATGGTGTAGCATCCACTGCTCTTAACAGCAACAAATGCCTGGGAACTAAGGAGACCAGTTACTCCAGTTTTGAGAGAAGAATGTTGTACCATGCTTGCTTGATGTAGGATTCTAACTGGTCAATAGTCATGTGTCTTCTTTGTTGTATTTTTCGTTTCAGGATGTACTGAATATTTTCAATTGGTGAAAGGTCTGGACTGCAGTTAAACATCTGGACCTTTTTACTATGAAGCCATGATGTTGTCATAGATGCAGTATGTGGTTTAGCATTGTCCTGCTAAAATATACAAGGACATCCCTGAAAAAAAGACATTGGCTGGGAGCATAAGCTACATTAAAACCTGGATATACAGTATCTTTCAGCATTGATCATGGCTTTCCAGATGTGCAAAATGCCTATTTCATACCCACTATCCTTCCCCCATACCATCAGAAATGCAGGCTTCTGAACTGATCGCTGATAAATCAGAAGGTCCTTCTCTTCTTTAATCTGGAGGACGTGGTGCCCATGGGTGCCAAAAATATCAATTCATCTGACCACAGAACAGATTTCCGTGTTACAGCAGACCATTTTAAGAGCTCGTTCACACGTGTTGATTATGAAGAAAGAAGCAATGCTCGTTAATGCGACCATAGCACTCGTTTCATTATGTTTATGAAGCGTTGAAAAATGTCACGAATGCTTGATAAATGCCCATAAAAAGTGTTGCTTTTCTAGTGAAAAGTAGGGTATAGGAAATGATCTACTTTAAGGCATGGTTAGGTTTTGGTACGATAGTAGACATTTTAGGGCATTCTTTGTGAGATGGATTCGTATACTTTGGACCAAGCCAAGTGTCAAAGAGTTCAGTTTACTAACATAAAAAGTTTTGCCACTAGCAATAATGCTCAATGTCATTGCTCTTTCCTGGCACTGTCAGTATCGCTGGCTGGCTTGATGCTTTCACCTGCACACAGAAGCAAATGGCATTCCCACACAGCTGCTCTGCATAAACAGGAAGTGGTTGAAGCTGCTGTCCTAGTGCTCTATTATTTCCCAGAGCATTCTGGGATACAGGACCTCCACTGTCTCTCCCCCAGTTCCCTGTTAACACCCTTCTGGGTGCTGTCACAGAACAATACTTTTGAAACCAATGAAGGCAGCAAACAAGCATAGATACCTCATGAAAGTGCCTAATTTTTAACACGATAAGTTATCGCTCCAGTGTGAACAGTCCTGTGTGGTGTCATATTCAGGGCAGGCACTGAAGGGCAGTTAAGAGGTTTTAAAAATGCTGAACAAATGCGGCATAAACACATGATATTGACACATGTGAATGAGCCCTAAGGCCCCTTTCACACGTGCAGACTATTTGTCCATTTTTTCATCCATCTGTTGATGGACGAAGAAAAAAAAAAAAAAGAACACCAATGCAAATCTATGGAAAAACAGATGATCATCCATTAACATGCTTTTTTTGAAACAGATCAAAGCCCTATTTTTGATCCATTAACCACTTACCGTACTTTTACTGCAGCAGGGCAGACCCGCTGCACAAAATCACATATATATATACGTGATTTTGCATTTCCAGGTAGGGGGCGCGCGACCACCCTACCCACGCTGGCGATTATGCCCGCAGGTGTCAATCACCGTGTCCCAGCCGGTGATTACCCACAAACGACAGCGAGGAGGGCTGCATTGTAAACAATGGGAAACGTACACCAAGGCCCTGACTGCAGGTCTGGCCACTTCTTAAATACACCTACTGCAATCAGCCCCAGGTGTTGGCTGCTTGCAGGAGTGAGCTTCTGGCTGCTGAGAGCACCCGCTGGTCAGCCCTGGTACTGCAGCCCACACAGCAGGTGAGTCCCACCACCAGTGCTGAGTCCATTCCTGACAGTACCCCCCCCTCAAGGAGCGGCCTCAGGACGCTCCAAACAGTCCTTAGTGGGCAAAATGTTCCACCGGCCGGATCAGGTAACTGGCTGGATATCTTACTGGCGGAGTCAACCGGCTGGCTGGGTTTCCTGCTGGCAGACTTCTCTTTATGTAGGGGAACCCAGGAAGGCAGGTCGCTGGACACAGGATCTCTAGGAGCAGGCTGGGAATCAGTTTTGGCCAGGTTTAGCTGGACATCAAGGGCTGGCACATCAGGTTGGGCAGCGGGCAGAGGCACGTCGGGCTGGGCAGCAGGCAGAGGCACGTCGGGCTGGGCAGCGGGCACCGAGCCATCTAGCAGAAATGAGTCATTGGGCAAGTCAGCAGGCACCGAGCCATCTAGCAGAACCGCGGGCACCGAGTCACCAAGCTCGACAGCAGGCACCGACTCATCTGGCATGACAGCAGGCACTGAGTCACCGGGCAAGTCAGCGGGCACCGAGTCACCAAGCTTGACAGCGGGCACCGAGTCACCGGGAAAGTCAGAACAGTCATCGGGCGACAGCGGGCACCGAGAAGAACAGCGGGCACCAAGCTCACAGCGGGCAGTCATCTGGCACGACAGCGGGCAACAAATCATCTGGCACGACAGCGGGCAACAAGTCAACTGGCAAGTCAGGGGGCACCGAGTCATCTGGCACGACAGCGGACACCGAGCCATCTAGCAGAACCGCGGGCACCGGGTTACCAAGCTCGACAGCAGGCACCGAGTCATCTGGCATGACAGTGGGCACCGAGTCTCCAAGCTCAACAGCGGGCAATGAGTCACCTGGCAGAACAGTGGGCAATGAGTCATCTGGCAGAACAGCGGGCAATGAGTCATCTGGCACGACAGCGGGCGCCGAGTCATCTGGCATGACAGTGGGCACCAAGTCATCTGGCACGACAGCGGGCACCGAGTCACCAAGCTCGACAGCGGGAGTCTCCAAGCTCGAGTCTCGGGCAAGCTCGACAGCGGGCAATGAGTCATCTGGCAGAACAGCGGGCAATGAGTCATCTGGCACGACAGTGGGCGCCGAGTCATCTGGCACGACAGCGGGCACCGAGTCATCTGGCACGACAGCGGGCACGGTCATCAAGCCGTGTAGGATCATGCGGCTGGGTAGCGTACACTGGGTCACCAGGCATTCGGCTGAACAGAAAGCAGGTTCTCAGACCGCAGACTGATTGGTTTGGATACTGGCAGGATGGTACTGGTTGGAAAGAATTTTCGCTTCTTCCTGGTTTTAGTTACTGGAGCACTGTAAGTAAACGCAGGTCTGTAAACAGATGGAGCACCTGCAGACAGAGAAGAGCTGGAGGATGGAACAGAGGAAGGAGCAGTTGCTAGAGAGGGCTTCTTTACAGGATTAAACGCAGGATAGGTGCAGCGAGTGGGAACAGGGTTCTGACATGTGGTTGATTTATACTGGGCTGGAACTGGGGGTGCTGTCGGGAATGCAGGAATAGAGCTTTGCAGAAATAGATTAGAAGCAGGACTGGGTTGTTGCAAGCTGAGGCTGAAGGTAACAAATCTGACCATGTCTGTAATACCGGTTGAACAAAACTCAGCTTACACATAGCCTGTCTAACCAAAGACTGCACTGCGTTTATGCAATCCACAAGCACATGTGATGGACAAGCTGCATAATGCTCATGGAAGCAATCTGGATCATCCTCCAACAGCCATATCAGTGATTCCACTTGATCTGCACTAAATGGGGGAAAAAAGTCATCCCTGCTTTCAGGAGTACTGGACAGAGCCAACTCAGCACAAACCTGGATCAATGGTTGTACCTCAGAAAACTCCATGCCCTGATCCACTAGTGAATGAGCAACCCGCATGCACTCTAGCAGCTGATCCCTGGCATACTTCTTCAGAATCTGATAGCCGTATACTCTGTCTTCCAAGACTAGCAGAGACAAGTACTCAACCTCCTTAGGATGCATCCTCCACAAACAACAAGCCAGGATGGCTTCCCTGTGTGGCCACTTCTGGTCAGGATTGGCCTTGGTGTTCTGTTAGGGATCCGGGTATGACCAGAAATGTGTGGACTGACACAGGGAAGTAGCAGGCTTCAGGAACACAGGCGTAGTCAGGGCTGGAGAGGTGGAATGGTCAGGCACCGCCCGGCAGGATCTCTGGTGACCCACAGCCCAGGATTCCACAGAGCGTGGAGTCTAAGCCCCAGTCTGCCTTTTCACCAGAGCCCCTGATGGTGTGGATGGACTTGGCGCAGGACTGGGACCAGGTCACGGCCCTGAGTGCATCCAACTGTGGTAGAGTGACCCGTCGAGGGTATGTACTGGGGGAAAGCCTGATGTGAAGGGGCTGGCAGGTTTGGACAGTAGTGACTGGATCCGTGCGGGATGGATGGATCGTCTGGGTAGCGTCAGGCGTAGTCAGGCAGGCCAGGTCAGCAACCTGCGGGCAGTGAGGTACCGGAGGAGCAGGCAGAGAATAGTCAGGGTCACAAGCTGGGTTCAGTAACTCACGGGCAGCACGGTACAGAGGATCAGGCAGAAGGATGGTCAGGCAAGCCAGGGGTTCAACAGGAGACGGTCAGCAGAGGTCAGGATCAAAGCAGGGTCAGCAACTAGGCAGATAGGCAGGAACACAGGATACCAGGTACAGGGGCTCATGGGAAACATACACCAAGGCCCTGACTGCATGTCTGGCCATTCCTTAAATACACCTACTGCAATCAGCCCCAGGTGTTGGCTGCTTGCAGGAGTAAGCTTCTGGCTGCTGAGAGCACCCGCTGGTCAGCCCTGGTACTGCAGCCCACACGGCAAGTGAGTCCCACCACCCGTGCTAAGTCCATTCCTGACATGGGGTACCACTTATACATGGACAATTTTTATTCAAGCGTGCCACTATTTAGACATTTGTACAATCTTGGAATTGGCGCATGTGGCACCGTGTGACCTAATGTGTGCCCACCATTAGAAGTGGGTGGATGCAGGGCGGTATATTCTAATGGTGGGCATACCACACACTTTTTCTGGCAGAGATTTATTCTCTTTTTTTCATTCAGCCCACAGGCTGCATACAAAAAAAAATAAAATAAAAGGAACATAGCATATATACCCAACAAGGACCAGTGATGTAATGGTACATCACTGGACTTTGAATGGTTATACCAGGATGATGCTTACAGCTGCAGGCATCATCCTGGTATCATTTTTTTCAGCTGGCAATCAGCTTTAATGTAAAAGCAATTATCCTCAGGATGGCAAGTGGTTAAAAAAAAATATGGAAGAAAAACAGATGTAAATAGACAAGTCAGTTTTTGCATGAAAAAATTGCCCCAGGGCTCAAGTGGTTAAGGACTCTAGCTGGCAGATGTTAAAAACTAATATAAATTTCATCCATTTTTTTTCTTTGGAAAAAGGTGAATGAACTGATGAAAAAGACCAGTCCACACATGTGAAACGGGCCTAAATTGAGCTTTGGCCCACAGAAAATGACAGCATTTCTGAATCATGTTCAGATAGGGCTTTGTCTTTGCATGAAAGAGCTTTACCTTGCAGTTTTGGCTGGCACAGCCATCTGTGTTCACAGTCAGTAATGTTTAGAAGTATTCCTGAGCCCACGAAGTGATGTCCACACATGATTTTAATGCAGTGCCATCAGATGGCCTGAAGATCACATGCATCCATGATTGTGCCTTGTCCCTTGAACACACATTTCTACAGTCTTTGAATCTTTTGGGGGATATTACATTATGAGATATAATTAAAGTCTTTTCAGTTTTACTTTTTAGGAACATTATTCTGTAATTGACAAAGTTTTAGATGTAGCTTTTCAGAGTGGTGAACCTCTGCCCATCTTTACTGCTGAGACACCCTGACTCTAAAATGCTCTTTATACCCAATCAGGTTACTGACCTGTTGCCAATTAAACCTAATTAGTTGCAAAATGTTCTTCCTTGGTAGTACCACTTGCTTTGTGTGGCCCTGCCCCAACTTTGAAACAGGTTACATAGTTAGTCTATCTGAAAATAGACAAAAGTCCATCCAGTTTAACCATTAAAAAAAAAAAGTTATAACCCTATACCACAGTTGATCCAGAGGAAGGCAAAAAAAACCCCCCAGCAAAGCATGATCAAATTTGCTCCTGCAGAGAGGCAATTGGATATTCCCTGGATCAACTTTACCTATAAATGTTAGTATCCAGTTATATTCTGTGTATCTAGGCAAGAATCCAGGCCTTTTTTTTTTTTTTAAAGCAATCCACTGATCTGGCCAGAACCAACTCTTGAGGGAGTCTATTCCACATCTCTCTCTATGAAGAAACCTTTCTGTGTTTGGAGATTACATTTATTTTCCTCCAGACATAAAGAGTGCCCCCTTGTCCTGTGATGATCTCAGGGTGAATAGCTCTACACCGAGTTCACTATATGAACTATTGATGTATTTATACATGTTGATCATATCCCCCCTTAATCTCTTCTAAAGAGAGAATAAATTCAGTTCCTCTAATCTTTCCTCATAGCAGAGCTCTTCCATGCCTCTTTTTGTTTGCCCTTCTCTGTACTTTCTCCAGTTCCCCAATGTTCTTTTTGTGAATTGGTGCCCAAAACTGAACTACATATTCCAATTGGAGGTATTACTAATGATTTGTACAGGGGTAATATGATATATGTGTCTCTCTCTCTCTCTCTCTCTCTGAAGTCTATACCTTTTTATACGAGATGATTTTGCTCACTTTGGAAACCGCAGCTTGGCATTACATGTCATTATTAAGCTTGTGATCTACTAGAACTCCCAGATCCTTCTCCAACATTGATTCTCCCACTTGTACTCCCCCTAGTATGTATGATGCATGCATATTCTTACCCCCCAAGTGCATAACCTTACATTTATCAACATTAAACCTCATTTGCCACATAGTTGCCCAATTAAACAGTGCATTGAGGTCAGCTGGAAGTTACTACCCTCAATCTGAAAATTTCCTTAAACTGTTACATTTTCTCAGTTTAAAGATATGTTTTTTTTTATTGTGAACAACATTAGGAGATTTGCAACTCATTGATTTCTGTAACTGAACTTTTCAGATACCATAACAGGAAAATACAGCCAAACACCATTTAGTGCAGTGGTTCTCAACCTTCCTAATGCCGCGACCCCTTAATACAGTTCCTCATGTTGTGGTGATCCCCAACCATTAAATTATTTTCGTTGCTACTTCATAACTGTAATTTTGCAGTGGGAGTAGTGCCACATCATTGGTGTCAGTGGGAGGAATAGTGTCCCATCATTGGTGTCAGTAGGAGGAATAGTGCCCCATCATTGGTGTCAGTGGGAGGAATAGTGCCCCATCATTGGTATCAGTGGTAGGAATAGTGCCCCATCATTGGTGTCAGTGGGAGGAATAGTGCCCCATCATTGGTATCAGTGGTAGGAATAGTGCCCCATCATTGGAGTCAGTGGGAGGAATAGTGCCCCATCATTGGTGTCAGTGGGAGGAATAGTGCCCCATCATTGGTATCAGTGGTGGGGAATAGTGCCCCATCATAGGTGTCAGTGGGGGGGAATAGTGCCCCAACATTGGTGTCAGTGGGAGGGTAATAGTGCCCCAACATTGGTGTCAGGGGGAGGAATAGTGCCCCAACATTGGTGTCAGTGGGAGGAATAGTGCCCCGTCATTGGTGTCAGTGGGAGGAATAGTGCCCCGTCATTGGTGTCAGTGGGAGGAATAGTGCCCCGTCATTGGTGTCAGTGGGGGGAATAGTGCCCCGTCATAGGTGTCAGTGGGGGGAATAGTGCCCCATCATTGGTGTCAGTGGGAGTAATAGTGCCCCATCATAGGTGTCAGTGGGGGGAATAGTGCCCCAACATAGGTGTCAGTGGGGGGAATAGTGCCCCATCATTGGTGTCAGTGGGAGGAATAGTGCCCCATCATTGGTATCAGTGGTAGGAATAGTGCCCCATCATAGGTGTCAGTGGGGGGGGGGGGAATAGTGCCCCAACATTGGTGTCAGTGGGAGGAATAGTGCCCCAACATTGGTGTCAGGGGGAGGAATAGTGCCCCAACATTGGTGTCAGTGGGAGGAATAGTGCCCCATCATTGGTGTCAGTGGGAGGAATAGTGCCCCATCATTGGTGTCAGTGGGGGGTGCCCCATCATAGTGCCCCATCATAGGTGTCAGTGGGGGGAATAGTGCCCCATCATTGGTGTCAGTGGGAGTAATAGTGCCCCATCATAGGTGTCAGTGGGGGGAATAGTGCCCCAACATAGGTGTCAGTGGGGGAATAGTGCCCCATCATTGGTGTCAGTGGGAGTAATAGTGCCCCATCATTGGTGTCAGTGGGAGTAATAGTGCCCCATCATTGGTGTCAGTGGGAGTAATAGTGCCCCATCATTGGTGTCAGTGGAAGGAATAGTGCCCCATCACTGGTGTCAGTGGGAGGAAAAGTGTCCCATCACTGGTGTCAGTGGGGAGGAATAGTGCCCCATCACTGGTGTCAGTGGGAGGAATAGTGCCCCATCACTGGTGTCAGTGGGAGGAATAGTGCCCCATCATTGGTGTCAGTGGGGGGGAATAGTGCCCCAACATTGGTGTCAGTGGGAGGAATAGTGCCCCAACATTGGTGTCAGGGGGAGGAATAGTGCCCCAACATTGGTGTCAGTGGGAGGGTGTCAGTGGGGGGATAGTGCCCCATCATTGGTGTCAGTGGGAGGAATAGTGCCCCGTCATTGGTGTCAGTGGGGGGAATAGTGCCCCGTCATAGGTGTCAGTGGGGGGAATAGTGCCCCATCATTGGTGTCAGTGGGGGGAATAGTGCCCCAACATAGGTGTCAGTGGGTGGGGAATAGTGCCCCATCATTGGTGTCAGTGGGAGTAATAGTGCCCCATCATTGGTGTCAGTGGGAGTAATAGTGCCCCATCATTGGTGTCAGTGGGAGTAATAGTGCCCCATCATTGGTGTCAGTGGAAGGAATAGTGCTCCATCACTGGTGTCAGTGGGAGGAAGTGTCCCATCACTGGTGTCAGGGGGAGGAATAGTGCCCCATCACTGGTGTCAGTGGGGAGGAATAGTGCCCCATCACTGGTGTCAGTGGGGGGAGGAATAGTGCTCCATCATTGGTGTCAGTGGGGGGAATAGTGCCACATCATTGGAGTCAGTGGGAGGAATCAGTGCCCCAACATTGGTGTCAGTGGGAGGAACAGTGCCCCATCCTTGGTGTCAGTGGGAGGAATAGTGCCCCAACGTTGGTATCAGGGGGAGGAATAGTGCCCCATCGTTGGTGTCAGTGGGGGGAGGAATAGTGCCCCATCGTTGGTGTCAGTGGGGGGAGGAATAGTGCCCCATCGTTGGTGTCAGTGGGGGGAGGAATAGTGCCCCATCGTTGGTGTCGGGGGGGAGGAATCGTGCCCCATCGTTGGTGTCAGTGGGGGGAGGAATCGTGCCCCATCGTTGGTGTCAGTGGGGGGAGGAATCGTGCCCCATCGTTGGTGTCAGTGGGGGAGGAATCGTGCCCCATCGTTGCCCCCCATCGTTGGTGTCAGTGGGGGGAGGAAATCGTGCCCCATCGTTGGTGTCAGTGGGGGGAGGAATCGTGCCCCATCGTTGGTGTCAGTGGGGGGAGGAATCGTGCCCCATCGTTGGTGTCAGTGGGGGGAGGAATCGTGCCCCATCGTTGGTGTCAGTGGGGGGAGGAATCGTGCCCCATCGTTGGTGTCAGTGGGGGGAGGAATCGTGCCCCATCGTTGGTGTCAGTGGGGGGAGGAATCGTGCCCCATCGTTGGTGTCAGTGGGGGGAGGAATCGTGCCCCATCGTTGGTGTCAGTGGGGGGAGGAATCGTGCCCCATCGTTGGTGTCAGTGGGAGGAATAGTGCCCCATCATTGGTATTAGTGACACCAATGATTGGGCACTATTCCTCCCACTGACACCAATGATACTTACCTTGCTGACCCCTACTCCAACCTGGGCTGACTCGTTCCCTCCCTCTCCCATGGTACAGACACTTACCGGTCAGCTGTCTTCCTTCTCCGGCCGCTCTGCTCCTCTTCACTCGCTCGATCTTCGCAGTGCCGCTCGGCTCCTCCTCTCCAAGCTCCACCTCCTCGCCGGTGATTGGCCGCCTGTGTGCCTCTCCTGAGCTACAGTTCCGGCGGCCAATCACCGGCGAGGATTGATCCCGGGGGTGTGGCCAGATGACAGGGGCGGCATGTCATCCCGCCCACACCTGGAGACAGATAGAGGAGTGGTGTCTCGGTTCCTAAGACCGTCGGAAATATGTGTTTTCCGCCGGTCTTAGGCGACCCCTGTGAAAGCGTCGTTCAACCCCCAAAAGGGGTCGCGACCCCAGGTTGAGAACCGCTGATTTAGTGTATTAGGAAAGGATGGAACTTCTGTCAGGGTTTTTATTGTCATTTCCCTGGCAATGGAAGTGGGTGAGAACATTCAAGAGTTACAGCATTACGCATTAACATTGCGCCAGTGTAGCACTTGTTCCTCCTTGTAGTTTCACCACAGCTAGAGTGCTGACATTGCCTAGCACTAGAGTAGTTGATAAAATGCAAGTCTGTGCTGCACATCCAGAAACTGGGAGGTTTAATAACCATATATGTAGAAAGCAGTCCAATGACTCAACACATTGTGCATTGTAGAATTTACAGTAAAGGAAATAAGTAATTGATCCTCTGCTGATTTTGAATGTTTGTCCACTCACAAGGAAATGATCAGTCTGAAAATCGAATGGTAGGTGTATTGTAACACAGACAGAATAGCAACGAAAAATTCAAAAGAAACGCATGTCTAACAAATTATGCACTGATTTGCATGTTCATGAGGGAAATAAGTATTTGATCCCCTTCACAAAACATGATTTAGTACTTGGTGACAAATCCCTTGTTGGCAATCACAGAGGTCAGACGTTTCCCTGTTTTTGGCCACCAGATTTGCACACATTTCAGGAGGGATTTTGGCCCACTCCTCTTGGCAGGTTGGGTGGCTGACATTTGGCAACTCAAACTTTCAGCTTTCTCCACAGATTTTCAATCGGATTAAGGTCTGGATACTAGCTAGGCCACTCTAGGACCTTAATGTGCTTCTTCTTGAGCCTCTCCTTTGTTGCCTTGGCCGTGTGTTTTGGGTCATTGTCATGCTGGAACACCCATCCACAACCCATTTTCAATGGACTGGTTGAGGGAAGAAGAATCTCACCCAAGATTTGACAGTACATTGCCCCGTCCATCGTCCCTTTGATGCAGTGCAGTTGTCCTGTCCCCTTAGCAGAAAAACACCACCAAAGCAGAATGTTTCCACCATGTTTGACAGTTGGGATGGTGTTCTTGGGGTCATAGGCAGCATTTCTCCTCCAAACACAGCGAGTTGAGTTGATGCCAAAGAGCTCGATTTTGGTCTCATCTGACCACAACACTTTCAACTAGTCCTCTTCTGCACCATTCAGATATTCAGTGGCAAACTTCAGACGGGCCTGGACATGTGCTTTCTTGAGCAGAGGGACATTGCGGGCACTGCAGGATTTCAATCCTTGTGGGCGTAGTGTTACACCAAATGTTTTCTTGGTGGCTGTGTCCCAGCTGCCTGGTGATCATTCACAAGATCCTCACGTGTAGTTCAGGGATGATTCCTCACTATTCTCATGATCATTGACACTCCATGAGGTGAGCTCTTGCATGGTGCACTAGGGAGACTGACAGTTGTTTTGTGTTTCTTCCACTTGTGAATGATTGCACCAACTGTTGTCACCTTTTCACAAAGCTGCTTGGCGATAGTTTGGTAGCCCAGTCCAGCCTTGTGTAGGTCTACAATATTGTCCCTAACATCCTTAGACAGCTCTTTGGTCTTTGCCATGGTGGGAGAGTTTGGAATATGATTGCTCCTCTGGACAGGTGTCTATTATACAGGTAACATGAGATTACCAGCAATCCCTTTAAGAGACTGCTTCTAATCTCAGCTTGTTACCTTTATGAAAGACACCTGGTAGCCAGAAATCCTGCTGAATGATAGGGGATCAAATACGTATTTCCCTCATGAACATGCAAATCAGTGCATAATCTGTTAGACATGCATTTCTTTTGAATTTTTTGTTGCAATTCTGTCTCCCAGTGTTACAATACACCTACCATTCGATTTTCAGACTGATCATTTCTTTGTGAGTGGGCAAACATTCAAAATCAACAGGGGATCAAATACTTCTTTCACTGTACATATCAAGACATTTTGGAACTGTGTAGGTCGGTTACATATTGTTAAAAGAAGTGCGGGAATTAAAAAAACAAACAAAAACAACACGCTTACATACACACCTAGGTGGATATAGTATCAGTCCAATGCTGCTTTTTTTCTCCTCCACCGCCTTTAAACCGACAACAGAGCAGTCAAAGACCGCAAATTGCTCAGTTGTCTGGATCTCTCCAGAACCGATAGCAGGCTTTAGCTCACTGTCTGCTGAATGCAGGTCCCAGGAGTGCAGGTCTAAGTTCACTCCTGTGACCAACATAAGAAGGCTTTGGCCCTACTTCTCTTTTTAATAAACCTCCAGGATTCTGGATGTTCTGCATAGGCTCACGTTTTATAAACTGCATGCTGGATTCAGAGTGGCATGGCTGTGGTGTTGCTCAGTGATGTGGATTGAATTCCCTAGTGGTGGAGGGTTCCCTACTGCATTTGTGGCATAATTAGCTATAATGAAACATGCACAGAAAATGTACAATTGGAAGGTACAGTTTTTATTATCCTTCATATTTAATACAGGAGAACTGTATAGCCTTATTACATTAAAGTAAAACCAACGAAGGATAAAAGTGTTGAAACATCACATTCCACATATAGCTTTTCAGGAATGTAAAACCTGGAAGTTTATCCTCTTGAATAGAAATAACAGGGCACATAACTTTCTATTTCCTCCGAGACATACATCTTTACAAAAAAAATTATTTGCATCAAATGTCCTAACAGTGCAGATCAGGAAAAATATATATAAAATGCATTTCGAACACTACATAGATTACAAATAAATTATTGGAAATCTCAACACACATACAAGTCTTGCAGTCCAATCTATTTTATTTAGTAGAAATATATTGATATAAATTATGAAAAGTATAGGTAATCAAAAGAGAAAACCAATGATGTCTGCATATGAAGGCCTGCTTCTATTAAATCGTCTACATCAAAGACAGGAAGGCAGAGCAGAACATGCTGGTAACATGCAAGTCTCTGGCTGTCCAACTCTGATATAAATGACTTAAAATATTGATTTATTTTGTAAATGTTTACAAAGTAAATGACACTTTAAGGACATGGCAAAAAAAGAAGAAAAAAAAAAAAACGAACAGATAAGACATTACCCCCCTAAATGCACTAAAAAACAAGAAGGGTGCCTTGAACATGAAAAGGAAACCAGATTTAAAATACATTATGTACACAACCTTCAGTAAGTGCCCATGTCTAGACAAGTGAATCATTTAAATTATGATACATAAAAGGAGAAGCAGTGCACTTCTACTACAATTTATACGGTTTTACATATAAAAATATTAGAAAGGGAATTTATCATTTATCTTTTTTACAACTTGGCAGTATACAAGCTCTACAAGGAACCCATGCTTAAAATTCACCAATGCAGGGGATATTGACACAAGTACAAAAAAAAAAAAAAGCCACTCTTCAGTAAAATAGGTATATTAGATTGTTACCAGTTTAAAGGAAACAGAATTTAAAAGAAAAATAAATCCCCAGTAGATATTCACATGTGTACATGGCAGATACACATCCCAGCTCCAGTCATTCTCATGGGAGAATAAAAGGCCTGTGTCAAAGAGCTTTGGGTTTGTGTTGATGACAGAATTCATTGACTGGTGGCCTCTGACCTGCTTTGTATTCCCATAAACCTGTATGTGAATGCAAGTTCCATTTGAAACAAAAGCCCAAAACTTTGCCTTTGTATATTTGTATATCCTCCAAAGTGCTTTGGAAGGCAGACTTGCAAATAATGCTACTGCACTACCCTCCATAATATGTCATAAAAAGGATACCACTTTTGTGTTAGGTTTCATAACTTCCTTGCAATATAACTCATTGTAGACTCTCCCACTTGGTAGAAACTCACAATACACTGTATTGTGTTATAATCCCTGGGTCCTAATGGAAGGGGGGGGGGGGGGTAGTATGCCGGTTAAAGTCACATGGTCAGATACCAGTGTTGTTCTGGTTTTCCCAGTATTTTCCCTATTACAGCAATTGCATGATTAAGACATTGTACTTGGTATACAAGGATGTGACATTTGAATAGTTTTGCAATTACAGGAAATAATATCTGGCTGCAGACTGAAATGATAAAATGACTTAACACTTAAGGTGACAGACTGTTGGTGCACCAACTTTAGAGGCATCCCCTATACAAGAAAGCCACTTTAATATTGCTTGTCTGTTTTAAAAAGAATAGCTGGTTGCAGAGCTAGGAAGGGCAACATTAACACTATAGATACAAAATGGCTTGTGCATGAACTAAACATCATACCAATGTTTACCCTCCTAGGACTGAAATTCATAAGAAAATGCATTAGTTTGAATAAGCAAACTATAGTGAAATAACAGTATGTACAGTCATACTCTAAAGTGATATTTTGTCCCATTATACCATCTCCAACAGCTTTACCCATTTCCTGGCTGATCGATAACAGTAATGTATTTATCCATTATATTATTTTTTCATTATCTGAACTCATGTAATTAGTTGAATTTCACTTGATACCAACCTTTTACAATCCTCTCTACAGCACGCTGAAATGCAGAAACAGGACTAGGAGCCAGTCAGGTGTGCTGCATGCACATCAGTCTGCTGCTGCTCTTTCGCTGCTCTTTCACTGCCCCAGTCCATAGGCTGGGTGGGGAGAGAACACCACTAGTTCTTACTGTAAGTGGTGTCATCAAGCTGGGTGTGTAATGCAGCTGTGCAACTATTGGGTCTCTGGAAAGAAATACACATTGGAAGGTAAAACAGCTTCCATCTAAGTAGCTGACCTGTGCATTTACCTGCTTGCAGTCACATACCATATGCTTAGAAAGTTCATGGCTATTCTCATTACTGAAATTTACAGTGGAAGAGCTGGTATTAAAGATAGGAACCTAGAATACTGCATTCCTTGTGGCCCCACCCAAGAAATGGTTCTCCCCTCACTTCATGAGGAGAAAAAAAAAAAAAAAAAAAAAAAAAAAAAAAAAAGATGATCTCTACCCACAATGTAGTGGACAATCTGTTAAAGAAAAAATACTAGTTAGCACAGTTAAAAGGTTATATGTCATATGTCAATGCATCTTGCTTGAGAGCTGTGTTTCTGTCAATCATCTAAATTTCACAAAATCTTTTTACCCCTTCCAAAATGATTACTATTAGATACTACAATAAGCATCTAGGACATTATAGAAGCTCACTTCCACGCATACACACTTATAAGAAGAAAAATACAAGAAGGCAGGCTAGGTGTCCATTAAATTAAACAAAGAAAATAGAATCTATTTTAATAGAAAAAAAAAAATATCAAAATGCCAAAATGTAGATTAAAAGCACACAAAAACACCACTCCCCATTATTTATGCCTGAACTCCACAGTCCATATTCTCAAGCTGAATGGAAACAATTATTCATAAAAGAGCTCTTTTTTTGAGGTAACTTTACTTATGCCAAGGAAGAAGAGCACGTGTACAGCTTTAATATAGATCTATATCTCAAACAGATCCCATAAGCCTAAACCAGTTCTTCGATTCAGTTTTTGAGAATATGGACCCATAACTATAACTACACATTTAAGGTGACTTGCCTTTGCACATGACATATACATTATACCAGATGCAGATTCAAAGGTTACAGTTGAAAGGCAGTACAAATTCCAGAACATTCCTGTGGCATTTGTGAGCCAAAGAACTAATTTTACAACGTCATGTATTTTGTCTGCTGTAAATTTCTGGATTCTTCTTTTGAAAGCAGGGAGAATATTTTGGTGGTAGTTGCAATTTTTATATTGCATGATATTAGCATGTGGTTATCAAACCCATATTTTCAATAAAAATACACTAACGTTAACAAATCACAATATATTACTCACTTTTTTGGTTTAAAAAAAACAAAAAAAAAAAAAAACAACACGGGAAGAGGTTGCATTGAATAAATAAATTAAAAAAAAAAAAAAAAAAAAAAAAAAAAAAAAAAAAACACATCAAGCCCCCAACATATTTTATTTTGCACTTTTATAACCCTTCACTTTATACTTGTTACACTTTATGTATTTATAGGTTTATTATTTGTTGTAGATATTAATCTAGAGCTCTGTATTTATTTTTGGTTATATCTAAAATTGTGTGAACCTGTGAAGAACGGTGACTAACTCTGGTAGCTAAAGTTATCCATAGAGGACACTTTACATCCTAAATATGGGTTGTAACATGGTCACAAAGGTGGACTTGCCTTTACAATGATTAATAAATGAATTGCAAGATCTCCACACTTCAGATTGTTTCATTCTGGGGTTATGCTCTCTTTCTCCACCTCTCGTATGGTTTTTCTTGATTACCCCACCAGTCATACGATAGAGTGGGAGCAAAAGAAGCAAAGCCCTGCTTCTACAAAGACAGTGCATAAAAGGTGCAAACATCAGGCCTGTCATCCTTATGCTTACTTTGCCATACTGGTTGTTTCCATCAACTATTTTCCAATAAGCAAAGCAGACACAGGAAAAGCAAATAAACAATGAGGACCTCAGAACTTGCAAACAAAAAAGAGCAACAACCATATTTCTATACGGACATGTCCACTTTAAATGCAAATAGCTTAGCAGAATTCTTTAACATTTCACATGACAATTGCATTGAAAATTAGTCTTTGGCTTTTGTAGTAGAACATTCACTGATGACAAATGGTACAATATAGTAATGCTTTACACTGCCAATCAGTAGCAGGGTAGCCGAATGCCAAATGCATGAAGCCTGAATTACAGTGAACAGTATTAACTTGAATATCCAATATACAATGCCAACACATTGTTCTTTTGGTGATGTATACATGACGTAGAGTGTGTTATACTATACACCAAGTAATATACAATAATATAATGTTTAATCAGATTTGCCACGCAAAGGCCAAAATTTTCTTTCATAAGAAACACTTGGAAATTAGTGCTAGCGATATAAGGCAAATGATAAACTATCTTGCAGCTGGATACAGTGAGAATCATTTACAAAATATATTTAAATGAGATGATAGAAATATATAAAAGGATCTCAATTCTCACTCTAACTTGGATCCATCTGAATGAAGTGAAACACGATAAACTGGTTTTCCAAGCAGCATTTTCTAAATCTGTGCTTGTGCAGGCAAGCACAGACCTGTAACCAAGAAGATTAAATATAGCTTAGTTTTCCATTGTATAAAAAAGTATGTATAGTAGATATGGAGAATGTGAAGCCCATTTGAAACTTCACTTGGTGCATGTCCCCAAAATTCTCTAATATTGGCATCCAGAACAAACTGTTTGTTAAAAGCATTGATTAAACCAGTATTAAAAATGGCAACACAAAAATAAACACACAGCTTTGTACAGTGAAACAGGTTTACGATTTACATACAAATGATAGACATGATAATCTCTAGTGAATCTCTTCTTCCAGCTCTCGGTTCTTCAGCCCTGCATTGCTTCTTACATCATCAAACGAGTAACATGCAATTACCTTCCCGTTCTTGAACACCGTGTGGAGAAGATCCTGTTTTTAAACATCAATGTTAATAGGACATCCTTCATAAAACATAAAACTCAAGAGTTAAGTATAATTTTAACTACAGGAATTTCACAAAGGGCCAGACTCCACACGGATTTCCAACCTAGAACACGTATGCAGATCAGGAAATTTAGAGTAAAGTAAGAAGACCATAGCTGCATACTTGCTATGCATTAGGGACACAAAATAAAGAGTCAGCATGATGGCCAAGGAGCGAATATTAAAGAAAAAAAGAAAGAAGAAGAGATGAGATGTTAGCACTGGCAGCCCCCACATTGCTCTCTGGAAAAATTTCTTTTAAGGGCATGGATAGAAAATAGGGACCCGCTAGTAGAGATAATATTGTGTGATAAACTCACCAGCAAGTTAAATGACAACTGCATGCATAAGAGATCACAAATTATATGACCTGAACAGACATGCATTTTCTGAATTCAAGTATATGACTTTATATTAGGAAGAAGTGAAAATCCTGCCAGGTTATTTTTGTACCACTGGGAAAATTTCATTCACTTTCTTCCCAGAGATGCAAAAAACTTGACAAAGGATCTACACTTTAAGGTCGAAACAAAAAAACAACACACACACACACACACACACACCATATCCGGACAGATAAAACCTAAAAAATCCCCTTTCCCTTTAAGGCATGATATATATCATCGTGTTTTGCAGTCTCACTTGTCCCTTTCCATGTTCTACAATACCTGGTTGATCCTGCCTGTTCCCATGTCCCCTCTATAAACTGACTACGCTAATCATAGCTGCTGATCCTTGATAGTGTGGTCACGTTATGTCCCTGCTGCGTATTCAGAGTCTCTGCATCTCCCTCCTTCCCTGTTATTTCCTTAGTCTGTGCAAAGCCGATCTCCTCCCTGCCCCTCCCTTCCTTCCTGCCTTGATTGAGTATTCTGTTGCAGCTTCTCCTCCCCTTTGGTAAAGTAGTTGTAAAGTCACATCAATTATATACTTTGATCCTGTGTTTTAGGAACATATTACAGTGTGTGTGTTTTTTAAAAATTAGAATGTAAAATAAATTCTTTGCAAAGCACGGCTGTGTGGTCACGTGTCCTCCCTCTGCTACCTTGCATACGTCAGAAGGGAATCTCGGCCCTCCCCCACAGTATTCCCGGGAAGAAGAGCAGAGGGAGGACACTTGACCACACAGCAGAGCTGGGCAAAGAAGGTATTTAGAATAATTAAATTAAAAAAAAAAAAAAAAAAAAAAACCCAAAAACACCACACACACTGTACTTAATATGTTCATAAAACAGAGGAAACACGTATATAAATAGATGTCACTTTACAACCACGGTTTGCATGTACTAGCTAAAACACACAAATAAAAAAAAAAAAAAAAAAAAAAAAACACGAACACAAATATGCAAGGTTAGCTTGTGTTCTAGGACATACAACACCAAGGACAGTGCAAATATTTGTAATCCACTTACTGGGCCGTATTCCTCTAGATCCCCTTTCCCTTCTTCAAGGGTCACAAATGAATTTGCAGATTTGTGAAGAGATAATCGCCCTTTCTTAGATCTTTTGTTTGGGTCAGCCACAGGATCTTTAAAAACATTTACCTGGAAAAAAAAAATAGTTTATAGTTGCACCCAGTTATTTTTTTTTTTTTTTTAAACACATGCAGTAGTTAAGAAAAAAACTAGGATTTATTAAGATTTATTATAGGTTACGTGTTCAAAGTGCAATAATCTTGTACACATACCCCAAGGCCATTTGTCACCACATAGCTACATTTAAATGAGCAGTTTAATAGGTCTCTAGTCAGTTTCTGCAGCAGGGCCCCTCCAGATCCAAATGCAATATTCTCAATGCTCCATTTATGCTTCTTCATGCCTTCTACGATCTAAACAAAACAGAAAAAGGAAATTTATTCCAGAAACAAGTCTTTACACATTTATAAAGAACATTTACAGGAAATACCAAGGCGACATGGTCTTTTAGGAAACCGTGACACTGCTCTTCTGTGTCTTGTGCTTACAAAAGAGCTGTTCGGCACATGTAAAGAACTGTATTTCTGCTCCCATCTTAAATAATTTTTTTTCTGAAGCCTGGAATAAAGCAATCTATTTTCTACATTGATATGCTGGAGTTCCATGATTGAGAAACAGTCAGATCTGACTGATCAGCCTTACAAACTGTGGATGGGCAAACACTGCACTTTTATTTAATTCAGATAAAGGTTAGTTAATTTTCATTCAGTAGGACATACTGTTCTGAATGAAAATTAAGACTGAATTACATGCCATTGACCTCAAGTGCAGACTTTGGACAAGATACTGTGTAAGGCTCTTTGACACCTAAAGGGATACAGGTGGTGCCCCTGACTTACACAATTTCTCCTGCATAAAAGTATATTGGACCAAGTTAAGAATGCACCACTTTGGTAGGAGCTCCATTGCCATCGGGCAAGGGAAACTAATTTGTTCTGGAGATATCGAAAACTGGTTTGATACATGACTTTCACGTTATCATGCATTCCAACACGTCTTGAAGCAACAATTGCTCTCTCAGGAATCCTGAACCTTGCCTCTGATGACTGTACTGGAGAGACGGCAGTAACCAGAACATAAAAACTTGGCCAGGAAAACTACTGAGCAACAATGTCTTTCCCAACCTCCAACCACATACATTTGGATGGAAAAGGTGAATTCTATCCTGCAATTGTAAAGTCTAACCTAAGCCATTAGAGGTAGCTCTAAAAAATATGAAGATCTGGATCAAACAGACTTTTGGAAAATCCTTGTCATTGGGACAGATAGTAAATTTGAATTCCTATAATATATATATATATATATAAAAAAATTTTTTTGCATGGCTGAAGCAATAAAGATCACACAGAAAACAGAGCCTAATATTTCATATTCAGAATTGTATAACTCCCATAAATAAGAATACTGTATAGCACAAAAAACTGGTCACCTGTTAAAGCAACAATCTGCAGCATGAAAAATACAACACTTGCCTCTTGCAGAGTATTTATGTCCACACCGTCTCCCTGTATTACACGAATGTAAGGAGGCAAGACCTTGTACCCTCTGGAGTTTTCTTGCAAAGGGAATTTTTTTCCTAAAATCTCCAGAACCTGCAATCATAAAATATTATAAGTAACATACAGCATATTTATTTATAATACCTATTTGGCTTCCAGGAAATATGCAGCACAAAGATTTTTTTTTTACCTTTAAAACTGTGTCCAGAGGGTTTCCGGAATCTGGCCGAATTATTAAAGGGGCTTCTGGACTTCTTGATTCAATCAAACTTCTTAAATCTTCCCCCCAGATTTTCTCACATGCATTGTAAATGTCATAACTGTCACTAACCACTGAAACAGGTACTGACGAAAACTGTGTCACAATATGCTTAAACGCGTCCTTCTCATGATCTTTACCCCAGGCTGTGATTGTACTGAAAGAAAGGAACAGAAGACCAAAAGGTAAATCAGGGTTATTGTATTTACAGAAGATATAGACAACACAGGGAAAAAAAGGGGAAATGTTACCACTGCAACTGCTCATACTTAAGATGATTTATGCCAAAATGAATTCTGCGACATGTCTTTGCTATAAAAAAAAAAAAAACCCACTACGTGTAAATTGGTTTAAGTGAAAATGATAGCGTTTATAAATGGCGGTATAGATACTGGGGTTTTTTTTTTTCTACTAGTAAGATCAGTGACTTTTAGCGGGACTGCGGCAGGCAGACATTCTGACACGGGGGAACTGACTGTGTCACCAATACAGTGATCAGTATTAAAAAAGTACCTACACTGTACTAATGACACTGGGCAGGAATGGGTTAATATGTGTAGGGAATGTGTTCCTAGGGGGTAGGGGGGGGAATGCTGTGCACAGCCATCCAGAGCAGTGTGCCCAAGCTGACAGGGAGGAAGATGGTTAGTAAACAAAACAGTCTTCCTCCCCATCGGAGATGCTCGGTAATCACCGGGCGCCAGCACGTAATTACCTGCCAAGATCTGGTGATTGACAGCCGCGAATGGCGGCATGGGTAGGGTGCGCGCCCCCTACCTGGAAGTGCAAAATCATCTATACATACGTGATTTTGTGCACCCCTGCCACCCTGTAGTAGTATATCTGCTACAGAGCGGCGCGGGGTACAGTTAATTGACAATAGCGCGGTCATGTAACGCTGCACCAAAATGAAATTTACGTCCTTCACCCCCCCACAAATAGAGCTTTTTTTGGTGGTATTTGATCGCCTGTGCGATTTTTATTTTTTGCGCTATAAACAAAAAAAAGGATTAACAATTTTGAGACAAAACAATATTTGACCTTTTGCTATTAAACATGTCCAGTAAAAAAAAAAAAAAAAAAAAAAAAAAAAAAAAAAAAATGATTATATATTATATATATATATATATATATATATATATATATATATATATATATACACACACATATATACACACACACACACACACATATATACATATATATATGTACATACATACACACATATACATACACACACACACACACACACACACACACACACATACATACACACAGTGGGGATTGAACGTTTGGGCACCAAAGCTAAAAATTTGTATTAATGTGCATAAAGAAGCCAAGGAAAGAGGGAAAAATCTCCAAAAGGCATCAAATTACAGATTAGACATTCTTATAATATGTCAACAAACGTTAGATTTTATTTCCATCATTTACACTTTCAAAATAACAGAAAACAAAAAAAATGGCGTCTGCAAAAGTTTGGGCACCCTGCAGAATTTATAGCATGCACTGCCCCCTTTGCAAAGCTGAGACCTGCCAGTGTCATGGATTGTTCTCAATCATCGTCTGGGAAGACCAGGTGATGTCAAGCTCAAAGGTTTTAAATGCCCAGACTCATCTGACCTTGCCCCAACAATCCAGCACCATGGGTTCTTCTAAGCAGTTGTCTAGAAAACTGAAATTGAAAATAGTTGACGCTCACAAAGCTGGAGAAGGCTATAAGAAGATAGCAAAGCGTTTTCAGATGTCAATATCCTCTGTTCGGAATGTAATTAAGAAATGGCAGTCATCAGGAACAGTGGAAGTTAAAGCAAGATCTGGAAGACCAAGAAAAATATCAGACAGAACAGCTCGCAGGATTGTGAGAAAAACAATTCAAAACCCACGTTTGACTGCACGATCCCTCCAGAAAGATCTGGCAGACACTGGAGTTGTGGTACACTATTCCACTATAAAGAGATACTTGTACAAATATGGTCTTCATGGAAGAGTCATCAGAAGAAAACCTCTTTCACGTCCTCACCACAAAAATCATCGTTTGAACTTTGCAAATGAACATATAGACAAGCCTGATGGCAAGTTCTGTGGACCAATGAGGTTAAAATTGAACTTTTTGGCCGGAATGAGCAAAGGTACGTTTGGAGAAGATGGGGCACAGAATTTAATGAAAAGAACCTCTGTCCAACTGTTAAGCATGGGGTTGGATCAATCATGCTTTGGGGTTGTGTTGCAGCCAGTGGCACAGGGAACATCTCACGAGTAGAAGGAAAAATGGATTCAATAAAATTTCAGCAAATTTTGGATGGTAACTTGATGTCATCTGTGAAAAGAGAGGATGGCTTCTACAAATGGATAATGATCCTAAACACACCTCGAAATCCACGGGGGATTACATCAAGAGGCGTAAACTGAAGGTTTGGCCATGGCCTTCACAATCTCCTGACCTCAACATAATTGAAAATCTATGGATAGACCTTAAAAGAGCAGTGCGTGACAGACAGCCCAGAAATCTCAAAGAACTGGAAGACTTTTGTAAGGAAGAATGGGCAAAGATACCTCAAACAAGAATTGAAAGACTCTTGGCTGGCTACAAAAAGCATTTACAAGCTGTGATACTTGCCAAAGGGGGCAGTACAAGATATTAACTCTGCAGGGTGCCCAAACTTTTGCAGACGCCATTTTTTTTTGTTTTCTGTTATTTTGAAAGTGTAAAAGATGGAAATAAAATCTAACTTTTGTTGACATATTATAAGAATGTCTAATCTGTAATTTGATGCCTTTTGGAGATTTTTCCATCTTTCCTTGGCTTCTTTATGCATATTAATACAAATTTTCAGCTGGGGTGCCCAAACGTTCGATCCCCACTGTATGTATATATATATATATATATATATATATATATATATATATATATATATATATATATATATATATATAAAATCTAATTTCGACATAAATTTAGGCCAAAATGTATTCTGCTACATTCCTTTGCTAAAAAAAAAAAAACCCCAAGATGTGTAAATTAACAGGTTTATGTGAAAGTTATAGCGTTTGCAAATGGCTGGAATTTTTTTTTTTTGTTTTTTTTTGTTTTTTTACTAGTAATGGCGGCAATCAGCGACTTATAGCGGGACAGCAAGTTTGTTTAAACCACCATCTTTTTTTAAAATCTCATTACAAAATTAATACTGCAGGTAATTGTGAAACAGGAACAAAGCAACTGTGTTTACACATTTCCTTCTGTATTTCTTTAATTGTTAAGGAAACCACCTCTGTTTTTAAAGTCTTCATTCATCTCACATAATCGCCTAAAAACTGTATTGATCCAAGAGAGCCATAAAACATTTTATAAAACGCAAGACTATCATTAACTGGTTTCCGCCCGCAATGTACTGCGGAGGCGGCATCTACAGGCAAAGAGATGTACGGGTACGTCGCTTTGGCTGTATGAACACAGAAAGGTACTGCGGACACAGCGGAATGAAGATCCTGGTGAAAGGGGCCCGGTGATCATGTGAGCGCTATGCATTTTGCAGGCGAGCAGCGGCTCTGGGCAAAGCGATGCAATCTTACGTTGCTTCCTATTTTGGGGTGTAAACGTGCCTGCGCCCCCCGTCGATCCAGAGAGAAAAGAACACGGCACTACATTTTACACACACACACACACACACACACACACACACACACACACACACACACACACCTGCTGATAGCAATGAAAGGGATTTAAAAATAAAAACCGAGGAGCACCCTCGCCCATGCGTGCGCAAGCATTGATCCCTTGCAGTCTGTAAACAGCGATTGCACCATGCATGTGAGGTATCACAGTGAACGTCAGATCGAGGGCTGTAATTCTAGTACTAGACCTCCTGTGTAAATATAAATTGGCTTTTAAAGCATCACCTGTCGATATTAAAAAAGTATGTACTCTGTCGCCATTGCACGAGCATGCGCAATTTTAACGCATGTCATGTTTGGTATCTATTCACTTGGCGTAACATTTTTTACATTGTATCAAACATTTGGGCAATATATTGTGTTTTTTGTGCATTAAAATTCTAAAAAGTGTATTCTTCCCAAATGATGTGTTTGAAAAATCACTGTGCAAATACTCTGATGTAAAAAATTTCAACACCCACCGTTTTATTCTCTAGGGCCTCTGCTTTAAAAAAATATACATAATGTTTAGGGGTTCAAAGTAATTTGAAAACTGTTTTTTTCATGTGAACAAAAAGTGTCAGAAAAGGCTTAGTTTTCGAGAGTGGGTGATGTGTGGCATAAGCTTCTAATGTTGGTCCTGAAATACCAGGATAGTAGAAGCAACCCCTCCAAATGACACCTTTTGGAAAGTAGGCACGCCAAAGTATTTGCCAAGAGGCATGGTGAGTATTTTGCAGATCTCATTTGCTGCCCCATGTTTTTAGAAAACTGAGAAAGGAAACAAAAAAAGTATTTTTTTCTTTTTCAAACCCTGTGACAAAAATGATATCTGTAAAATACTCACCATGCCTCTTATCTAATTGGGGTGTCTACTTTCCAAAAAGGGGTCATTTGTGGGGTGTTTGTACTATCCTGGCATTTTAGGGCCTCAGAAACTGTGATGGGTAGTGGGGAAGCGATATGAGGAAATATGTCCTTTGAAAGCCTGGAGGTGGTCATTGGATTTTGGGGGCCTGCACTGTATGTAGCTAGGCTGCCAAAAAGTCTCTCACATGTGGTATCCCCATACTCAGGAGAAGTAGAAGAATGTGTTTTGGGGTGTTTCTCCACATATACCCATGGCATGCATGAGCAATATATAATTTAAGTGACAACTTTGTGTAAAACAAAAACCCCCCAAAAAAACACATGCCTCTGCAAAATCCTTAATGGTGTCTACTTTCCAAAAAGGGGGCGCGCGCGTGTGTATGTGTGCTGTCCTGGCATTTTAGCACCTTATGGTCTCTTTCTTACTGGCCTTCCATCTGTCTGTTTTGCATCTGTTGTCGGTTGAAAAAAGGGCAGCAATGCATTTCTAT